GGGGGGGGGGGGGGGGTCCTTATTCTAAGTATAGTATAATGGGCCCCAAAACCATCTTCTAATTATTCAGGCCCCTACATTGGGAGTCCGCATTAAGGCTTTGGGAATTTATTGGTTTAGGGTCTTAGGTTTTAGGGTTCATGCCTTTCAAACGCTGGGTTTATGTTCTATAGATCCAATAAACATCATCGCCACACTTCCAAGCGCTGAAGCCCAAACGATAAGGCCCCAAACAAGTGGATGCCTTCATCACTGCATATGGGTAGTTCTCTAAAGTAGCGTCCCGTTTAAAGGTCCCCAAAATGCCACGGCACCCTTTTAAATAGGAACCTGAAAGGGACCCTGATATAGCAAACTACCCATATAGATGCGCCTGGTCATTTTCACGGATCATGTAATTACCTGCTGTTGTGCATGCGTAGTACGTGTGAACGAATAAACAGATGAACATCAAATCATCAGTTAGGCTCTGCAGTTAGACATCGTCAAGAAAGGCTCAAGCGAATCAAAGCACAATATCTCAAACCACAAGCTTTCAAGCCCAAACTAGCTTAGATGAAAACACTCCGAAAGCCATGGGCTGGATCGCATCGTCCCACCGTCCATCCTCAAACTTGGCAAACTCTACTTCCCTTCAATCATCCATGCTTCCACGCCTAAACCTAAACTCTCAAAGCCCTAAATCTTCAACACCCACCTCTAAACCCGGAACGCCCTAAGCCACAAACTTACAAAACCCAGTCTCTGAATCTCGAAACCTCAATTATCCCAATGGGTATTGGTCCTCCTGCGTGGCTTCTTCCTCCACGCCCAAGAGTTCCTAGGCGCCACTTGCCCTAGACGGGATTACGGTGTAATATACGGGCCTTAACATTTGGGTATATCCTCCTATAGTTATAATATAGAGTCAGAGCCCTAAAGATGGCCCAAGGAGTCTGTGGTGTAGTTCCAGGAACTAGAAAGTTATGAAGTTTAGAATTATGTAGGGTTCAGGGTGTAGTTGTAGGATTTTAAGGCTTGGGACCACGAAGGTTCTAGGATTTAGATTTTGGTGGTTTTTGGAGTTTCGGAATTGCTAGGAACTGAGCAGGGTTCAATGCAATGACCGAGCGCTAAACGCTAAATCTAATGAACCCTAAACTCTAACCTACACCCTAAAGCCTGAACCCTAAACACCTCCACCCTACATCCTAAACCCTAGAACCCTTGAACCCTGAACCTCTCAACCTTACATCCTAAACCTTTGAACCATAAACTCCTCAACTCCACATCCTAAACCCTAGAACCCTACATCCTAAACCCTCAAGACCGAACAGGAGCTATGGTGCTACTGTACTTGGCTAGCTCCTCGGGTCTCTGAAGCTAAGTCTGATCTAGGCCCCAGGCTACCCCGTCAGGTTTAGCGTTTAGAACTGAGGGTTTAAGGGTTTAGGGTTAAAGCTTTTGAGAAATCCTCGTAAAGAGCATCCTCTTAGGACCAATAAAGCTACAAATAAGATGCCCCAAAGTCCCAAAAGCCTACCTAGTGATGTACATCATAATTGACCACAACACGGGTCAGAATGTTGGGAAACCAATTGCCGCTTTTAGTTTAGGGCTTCGGGCTTTAGGATTGGGGAGTTGCCGAAAAAAGCTTGAAAAAGGTACGGGCCCCGGGGCCCAGCAAAACGAGAGCGAAGTACCAGTTTTCTGGCAGCGTTTTCTGCCTTCGTGGAACTTCGAATGCCCGATAGGTTATGCCGGAGAGTCGTACAGAGTCTGCTCTGCCGGGGCATCTTCACCGCCATCAATGACAGCCATTATGTACACCGAGGCTGTGTTGAATGAAAGAGAGATAAGGCGAGAAGCGGTCGGAAGGCTTGCATAATGGGGTTGCCTTACAGGGTTTAGGGTGTCGGGTTTAGGGATGATATCATGAGGACAAACACTTCACAGAGCACAGACTTGTTTGCTCAGGTGCTTGAAGCTGCTGTGGGAGTTTACTTCTGAGCAGCTGTACCTCGAGCAACACGGCTTCGCCTTCGGCTGCAATCTACCCAGGAAGTCTGACACTCTGAACCTTTGAAGCCGAAGCTCAAATGCCAAACTCTGCGTGTGCATGTATACATATATATATATATATATCATCTTATGTGCATACAAAGATATGGTGGTATGTATGTATGTATGTATGT